CCTACGCCATATTATTTTTGTATTTTATGTTTGTTCAACTACTTTCCATACCAATTGTATGTGAGTGTATAGTCTGAAAATGTCAAATTTAAATAGTGAAGAAATGTAAAAAATAAGTGGTACCTGCTTTTCAGAGAACAGTAAAAAATATTAGTAAAACATTTTGATGGTTTGTCTAGACACTCAAAAAAAAAAACTATCATTCAGCCATGCAGATAATAATTAGGTATGTTCTGAATAATCATGCCCCAATACTAAAAGAAAGCCATATTTTTGGCGATGTCCATGTTAAACTTGCTTATTATCGTAATATTAAAAATTATGCTTGCTCTATAAAGCTGTAGAAACAAATCGGAAACGATTTAGTAAGGTTATGTTATATTTTGTCATATAGTGCAGAAATATGAAACAATTATACAACAAACCATGATGAAGTTGTTTTGTAGAAATAAGTAATGCAACTTAATTATTGTATTACAGCTGTTTTTACTACAATAATATTTTATAATTATGATTCAGTCTTAAAATAACTTTCTAATACCTCTGAATAGCCGCCATATTTAACAAAAACATAAGACAGTTTTAAAGCTAAATCTACTGTCGGTTTTACTAGTATTTAAGACAAAACCAATGTAAATGAAAGATTTTAATCATTAGTAATATTAGCATAATCTTATTACTAAAAAAAATCAAATTGCATAAATTTAATTTTTGTTTCACACTGAAAAAGTATTAGAAATATGAATCAAACTCGAGGCGCTTAAAAATTTAGTATTGTATGTGCTATATAATTAACAGTAATTCTTGCTGCGCATCCAAAAACGACTTTATTGTAGGTCATACATTATGTTTAAACCGCGTTATAGATATCTCTTAAGTAAATACTGCCATTTTACTAATATCGCCTTGAATTTACTTTTATGACAAATATAGAATTAATTTGTTTTCACCAGACACATTTAAAATACTAAAACGTTACTGATTTTGATATGCAACCTAACCTCAAAATTGAAAATTTATAAAACAGTTATAAAAGTTTAAAAAAACATTTGTTTAAAGTCTGTGTAAATGTGTAGTAACTGTTCGGTAACTGCATTCAACAAATCTTATAGAATTTACAAAAGAACCAAATAGTTCTGTAATACTGCGCCCATTTTGTGTTTATTACTGTTGAAAGAATGTTCCGGAAATGTTCTTAGCTAATATTCTATTTTATAAATTTTGTTCTGTAAACATTTTTTCAGCTTTTATAAAATATCAAATTGTTACTTGAGATGTATAAAAGACTATTTTTGGCATTGTACTTATACATAAATCCCATCTTTTCCATAAAATAAGTAGTTAAGTATATTCAATTGGGCTATGAATGGTACACTGTGTTTGGGGTCTATATCTGTTTAAAACTATTAATCCAATTTCGCTGAAATTTGGCAGGCAGGTTACCTGTAACGAGAGGAACATCTAATCAGTTTTCCAGAAAACTCTATAACGGCGGAACAAAATGGCGGCTATTTAAAATTTTCCGAGAATATTAATCCAATTTCAGTGAAAATTTGTAGAAATTTTGTCTAAGCAAATAATTAATATGGGTTTCTCTTACCCCACTTTGACTCTTTTAAAAATTTGAAAAAAAGTGCAGTTATTAAAATGATTAAACCTTACTATTGGGTATATTTTTTTAATTTCAGAATAAAATGGTTCGTAAAGGACAAAAACTGCTACGAGTTGACCCCGAGCACATGGAAAGAGCAGTTAAAAGGGTTATTCAAGATAAATTTTCAATTCGTAATACAAGCCAAACATATAATATCTCTAAATCAGCTCTACATAGAGCAGTAAATAATGCGCTTCACCTTACTGAACCAAAAAATTTCAACCGTATGCCTAATATTGGAAATAGACGGGTTTTTACGACTCAACAAGAAACTTACTTAGTCGAATATCTTATAACGGCTTCAAAAATGTGCTATGGATTGGGGCATGCAGCTCTAAGGCAACTGGCTTATAAATATGCAAAAGGTCTTAACATAACCTATCCAGAAAAGTGGGATACGGATTTAAAAGCAACCATCGACTGGCTTAAAGGCTTTAAGAAGCGTCACAAAAATTCTCTATCGTTAAGGAAACCTGAAAAAACCAGCTTATCCCGTGCAACAGCTTTTAATAAAACAACCGTCAATAAATTTTTTAATAATTTAGAAAGCGTAATGAACAAATTTCACTTCACACCTGACAATATATACAACTGTGATGAGACGGGTCTTACCACTGTTACAGATCCACCTAAGGTTCTTTCACAAAAAGGACTTAAACAGGTTGGTCAAGCAACATCGGCGGAATGAGGCCTGTTGGTAACCATGTTGACTTTTATAAGTGCAATCGGAAATACAATACCCCCTGTTTTTGTTTTCCCCAGAGTCCATTTCAAGGAGTTTATGTTAAATGGAGCACCGACAGGAAGTCTAGGCGTTGCAAATAAATCAGGTTGGATGACGGAAACAAACTTTTTAGAAGCTTTCAAACACTTCGTAAAACATTCAAAACCATCACCAGAGTCTCCTGTATTACTGTTATTCCACAATCACGAATCCCATATTAGCTTGGATATCATAAACTACGCCAAAACTAATAATGTGGTTTTGTTAACATTCCCACCACATACTAGTCACCGACTGCAGCCACTTGATGTGGCCCTTTATCTTAGATTATACAAACCTTAGATGGAACATAAGACACTGCGCATAATCCCATTTCAAAATTATTCACACCCACCAATCACAGTTGAGAACATCACATGTCAGAGCATTGTCCATCCAAATTTAATGTGTCAACGAGAATTAATTTGGTATTTTAGTGACTTAAATTTTGGAAATTAACGTTGAAAATGCCAATATGTGTTGTAAATAGCTTTATTTATAATAAAAGTGCAAAAAGTGATGGGTATAAAATAAACTTACATTTATTTCGGTGAGTTATTTAATTTTTAAAGATTCTGTCGACGGCCATATTTGTTGATTTGAAAATAAACAGAATCGGACTTAGTCATTGGTACATATTATAAGCAGCAAATAAAGATTATTATTATAAACTGTTTACTATTTCTTATTTCATGGGGAATCTTTTTTCAAGAAGTGGAAAAAGTAACATACTATTTATTCGTTTCAAACTTCACAACTAGTTTCAACAGTTTTTTCAGAACTATTTATTTAGTATTTCTCTATAACAGTGTTACTCAAAGTGTGCTCCGCGGAGCCCTGGGGCTCCGCAAAGCCTTTGTGAGGGCTCTGCGAAGAAAATAATCATAATAAAAAAAAACAGTACTATGGCCACAAAATGGAGGGACCTGTCTTGAGGACCTTTTTTTGAGAAGTAATTTTTTTAAGTTACTAAGAGGAAGGAGGATATGATTTTGCTTGAGGAATTTTTTTATTGTTTTTTATGGGTGAAATGGATATGGGATAATTCTTGCAAGGAATCTTTTGAATTAATCAAAAATAAATTAACAACAAATTATGTTCTTGTGCATTTTCAGCCTGAGTTGCCGATTAAATTAATCGTAGATACATCAAATGTGGGAATAAGGGCCATGATATGTCATGTTTTTGAAAAAAAAATATTGAGAAAGCTTCTGCTTCGCGTACCTTATCAAAGTCCGAACAAAAATATTCCCAAATTGAAAGAGAGGGCCTTGCAATAATTTTTGGCTTAAATAAATTTAATGAATCTTTATATGGACATTTCTATATCCTAGTTATAGATCACTTACCTCTGGTAACTATTTTTAACCCAGCTAAAGGTATACCCCAATTTTCAGCCAACAGACTACGTAGATGGGCAGTAATATTGTCAAATTACAATTATAAAATGGAATATGTGAAATCGGAGCACAATATAAAGCCGATTTTTTTATCACGTTTACCTATTGAAAGTCAAAATGAAGAAAAATTTTAAAGTTATTTTTTAAATTATGTGTTTTATGTGTTTAGGGCTCCGTCAAATATTTCACTTATTAAAAAGGTTCCTTCCCCAAAAAAGTTATTTTCTCTAATTTTGACATATAAAGTAATAAATCGTTGATTTCGACTTGGGTCTGTAGATTCCAGCATCGGCTCCTTCCTTGGTTTTTGAACCGTCTGTGTACCAGACGAGTTCAGCTTGTACGGGAGGTCCCTGTTTCCAGGATTCTCGGGCTGGTATTTAAATTTGACAATTTCTTTCAAATTTGTATGTAGTTATGGCTCTATCAGTAGGCATAGCTAGAATGTTATCCCTTTTTACTTGCTGATATAGCCTTGTGTGGTCGGCGCTATGTAGCTGGCTTATTGGGTTTTGTCCCTGCATTAGCCTGTGAATAGCTGACCTGGTTTCTTCTCTTGTGTAGAAGAGCACATCGTTCTAATCGAAGAACCGAGATCTTCCTATCTAGGACAAGTTTCGCCTGTGAGTTCCAGTGCTGAAAATATTTTTAAAAGCATTATAGACTTTTTGAAACTTCGACAAAATCTTTAGAAAACGCAGTGGCAGTTGGTTGTGATGGAACCGTTACAAACACAGTGGAATTATTGTACGTTTAGAGCAGCACATTAAAGCTTCTGTTCATTGGTTCATTTGTCAACTACATGCAAACGAACTGCCATTGCGTCATTTAATTCAGCACTTAGATGGCAATACAACAGGGCCTAATATGTTGTCGGAAGTAATTAGTAAGGCTGTTCAAAGTTGCGAAAACCTTCCTAGAGCTAAGTTTAAAACAATAAATGTTATTCTGCCAGTGATTTCCAGTAAAATTTTAAGCACAGATCAGTTATACCTTTATGATATTTGCAAGTTTGTCTCGACCGGTGTTTGTGACGACAGATTTCTGAACAGACATCCAGGAAAGTTGGTTCACTCCCGATGGCTTACCACCGCAAATCGTATCCTAAGACTCTGTGTCGACTCAGGATCCGTCAGATAATCTAAAAATGTTGGCAGAGTTCGTTGCAAAAGTTTATGTTCCGATGTGGTTTGCAGTAAAAACTAAACCATCCTGTGTTTATGGTGCAAAACATCTCTTTGACACTATTAAGCGTTCAAGGTATTTGCCACTTGAGCTGAAACATGTAATCGACCCTGTTATTCAGAGTAATGGTTATTTTGGCCACCCGGAGAATATGCTGTTGACAATGTTGACTGATGAACGAAAATTTATCCGTGAGCTGGCAGTTAGGCGAATTATTAAAATTAGAAATCAAATGGATCTTCACACAGAAGTTCGAGCATTCATTTTACCCAAATTTAACTTCGATGCTGAAGACTATTGTGACCTTCTTCAAACTTGGCAGGAATTTCCTCTTACTGAACCACCTCTTTTAAAACAACTATCTGAAGACGATTTGCAGGAAATTGTCAACGACTACTCCAATTATTTGGTAATTACGGAAATAATGCAGTTCCCTTGTCACACTCAAGCTGTAGAAAGGGCAGTATAACTTGTGACAGAGTCTTCTTTATTAGTGACTGAACCAATAAGGTGCGATGGAGTTATTAGGAATACCTTTTTTTCTAGGGAAGTGATGCCAAAGTTTAATACAAAAAAACATATAATTTCTACCAACTAGGTATAAAAACTTTTAATATATTATGAGATTGTAAGTTTTTTTTTTAAATCTTTTTCCGGCAATAAAAAAATAATAAAACCACTTTTATCATGTTATATCAATTTGGTCCTTAAAAATTTTTTTGTATGCCTTGCGGAAGTGGAAAGAAAAATTGGAACGAAAAAAAAAATTAACAGTGGTAAACGGAACAGAAACTTAAATGATTACACCCTATTACGTTTTTAAAATCAAAACAAAATATATTAAGGGGTTGCGGGGGTGGAAAATTTTGCAGAATTTTTTTTATTTTTATTTTAAGTTATCAGGTTCTAAAATCCCTTGTTTTGAGACCTGTTGCATTTCTTTAAGTAACATTTAATATTAACGTTGCACCCTATTCCATATCCTTAGTGTGTAAGGTAATAAGTTTTGTTCATTTATTTAAAAATATGTAGTATAACTTGATTTTTTTGATGCGTCCCATTCAAATTCCTGAAGTATTGAATGGGACAAATTACATTTTTTTTAAAGAACCTTTTTGTTATAAATAAATAAAATTTTGGATTTTGATGTTTTGTATCTTTTTTCTTAACCTGTCATACATAATTGTGTAAAAAAAAATCCTTCACAGGTAAAAAATTAAGTATTGGTTGAGGGTTAAAAAAAAATTTCCATTCATACCACTCTTCCCCTATGTATTTGCATTTAGTTTCCTTCGTAACTCTTTCCCATAATAATATCCTTAACCATTTTAACTAATTCATAAAATACTACCCTTTAATATTCATGCAATTTCTGTAAATAACATATATTTCCTCACATTTCGTCAGTATTTTTAAATTCGCGCCCATATAAACTCTACGCGTGACGTCATGCGCGTAGCCGTCCTATTTTTAACACAGTTGATATCCTACCTTTTATTTTTTATACCATGGGATCTATCCATTTAATTTACATTTTGTTATTTTCTCTAATTTTGACATATAAAGTAATATATTTTGTAATCGCAGCAAGTGTCAAAACGATCTACTTCATGCAACCAGTTGCATAAAGTAGAACATTATGCAACTGATTACAAAAGTTGATTATGTCACCAGTTACGAAATGAAAATAAACAAAACTGCCTCTTTTTTGGTTTTTAAGTCGAAAAATCTAAAAATCGAGAAATCGAAAAATTGAGTAATCGAAAAATCTAAAAATCGAAAAATAAAAAATCGAAAAATTCAAAATCTAAAAAACGAAAAATCGAAAAAACCAAATATCGAAAAAAAGGCAATGAATAGTAACATTTCACATTTGAAAATATGACATTACGTTTAACAACAAAAAAGAAGAAAAAAGAAAAGCTGTAAATTGCGTTTTATTTTTTAAATAATTGAACAGCGTTATTGAAAACTGCCCAGAAATGTTAAGGGGAAAATTTTGACGTACTCCTTTAAGGAAAATGGGTAGAAACGTTTTTTTTTTTTTTTTTAATTTTTCATCTTTTAGTTACCTACCAAAATTAGGTACTACAATACAAATATTTAAGTCCGGTCCAGAACATCTCCCAACTCCTTCCACCCAGTTTTTCGGTTTTGGCAAAATTCGCGCAGCGACAATTGCTTCCTATGTTATCTCTACCCTTTCTAAGCTCTTTGGGTATAATCAAGAAATATCATAGACATTTAGGAAGGATAGATAGCAGAGATAACAAGGGAGATATAACTACTCATTCATAAAATAGAATATATATGATGCCAACATCAAATTAGTCGATTTGGTGATCAGGAGAGGAAAGACGTGATGTGTGAGGTAAGGGAGGGGATATACTGCAGGACTGAAGGCCGTACACGTTTGTTAGTCGCAGCGGAGTATAAATAAATTGCATTGGCGTACCCCAGGAACGGGATAAATTAAATTATTTAAAAATATATGTTTTTTTAACCCCGTAAAAATTTTTGTATTTTAATATAGATATATTGAGCAGTAGTACACATATATTTTCTGCAAAATTCGTTGAGTTTTTAATTCATTAACGATATATAAATTTAGAAGACTTTTAAAGGCATCTTTTTTTACAGATGATAGGAATTTGTATATATTTCTAATATGCACCAGAGTTTAATCGGGCCGTACAAAAGTTATCTAAATAAAAAAATTGAAGCTAATTAAAAAATATACGATAATAAATAAAATAATACTATTAAATTTGCTGTCGCTAATTTATAAAAGTCACTGGTTCTAAATATCCAGGGTTTGTTCTTAGATCAAACAATAATTTTTTTTAGTCCACATGGATATTAGCTTATCTACGTACAGAATACAAAACGAAAAAGTATGCTATTGCATTCATTTAAACGGATATATTTCATATCTGTTCTAGGTAGTTCATATTTTGGTCACCCAATACAATTCTTTTTAAAATGTTAAATAAGTGACAATTGTGTCAAACTAATCGTCAGTATATTCAATTATTGAGATTAAATATACATTAAAATGAGTTATTTTTGTGTCGAATAGATAAATAATAAATATTTTTTTTACATAAAACTAAGAGGCGTCACACTATAAAACTCAAAGAAAATAATAATGTAAATATTCTTTTAAAATCCATGTTCAAAACTATCTGCCTCAATGTGTAAACTGTTGTTATTTCCAATGAATCAATCAATCCCTTATTTATAAATAAACAATTTATATCCTATTTCCTGGAATTGTTTTAATCCTATTTTCTATATCAAAACAAAAATAAAATTCTAAACAGGTAGGTAATCAATATGTATTTATGGACCTATGTAAATAATATTTATATATCCATAGATTATAGTTTTAAGAGAGTATTTCTTTTAAATTAGGTTTTAAGTGTTGATCAAAATAGTTCATGAAAATTCTACCTGAATGCAATAGCTATAAATTACAAGTAAAATATTTATTCCTATTTTTTTTTATTTATGAAATTGACAGTAATGTTCTGAATTATTTCTAAAAAAAAAAAAATTGTACCTATTTAAAATTAAGTGCTAAATATTATTTTTGCTGTTTTGATAGAATAATGTTTATCCGCTGAAACAAGGGATTTCAAAGATCTAAAATATACCGGGTGTTCAAATTAAAGTGTTACAGCTAAAGACCGCCTATTATAAAAGAAACGTTTCAGACGAAAGTATTATAGTTTTGTGGGGAAAAAGTTTTGGCTAAAATCGTTTTTTATAGCTAATCATAATATGGTCAACTTTTTTTTCGTCCAGCAAAATTTTCAAGTAGCTGTTACTCAAAAAGTAAAAGTCGAACAAAAAAAATATTTCCATCAAAAGTTTCTTATTTTTTTATGTACTTTAAGAATATGAAAAAAAAATAATGGGGTTCCAATTTAATAAACAAAGTCCATCTCGATATGGCCAGCTATAAAAAAATGAAATTATCCAAAATGTTTCCCCCAAAAAACTATAAAACTTTTGTCTGAAACTTTTTTCTATGATACATATTTTCGGCGGTATTTAACTGTAACACTTTAATTTGAACACCCGGTATATTTAGAATTTTTGCTTCCTAATGTGATTTATTTATTTAATTGATCCTAATGTACTGAATTATTAGTAGGTACGAAATTTTTTTTTTAATTTTGTGATAAAATATTGCATGCTTTCTGCTGTTTTGGTAAAAATTTTATGCGTGGAAACGCGAACCTTTAATCAAAGCCAATTGTAGATTTCTCAAGATTTTTACTTTCCTATCTGTATACATATATAAGTAAAGTACAGGAATCATGATTTTTTTCGACCTCGAGTTTTCGACGGATTTTTACGTTTTGAGGTTCCCTGAATCCGTTTTGACTATTTTCGCGATGATGTCTGTGTGTGTGTGTGTGTGTCTGTCTGTGTGTCTGTATAACGCATAACTCATGAACCGATACACAGAAAAACACCAAATTTTAAACTTAAGCTTTGTTTCAGCGTCCAATGAGCTCATTAGATTTTGGGCAGAGTCGGAACATCTGGGGGGGTACTTTATGGGTGGTCATTTTTATATTTCATGGAATATATCTGTTATTTACGTTTGGAGAAGAAAATTCTTTAAATAAAAGGTACTTCTAATATAATTATCTATAATTTTTGTTATATGCAAAATTTTCTTAAAATGGTCCGTATTCGAGAAATTTGACAAAATGTAAAAAAAAGAATTTTTTATAAAAATTGTTCAAATAAAAGTTGTTTGTAATATAATTCTCTATAATTTTTATTCTATACATAATTTCTCTAAAATGGACCGTATTCGAGATATTTGAGAAAATGTGTAAATTTCGAATTTTGAAGAAAACTCAAAAACGGATAAAGAAAAAAACATTAAATTTTAAACTTAAGGTTTATTTCGGCCTGACGTGAATTGATTAGATTTTAGACATAGTCGGAACATCTGGGGGGTACTTTATGGGAGGCCACTTTTATATTTTATGGAATATATCTGTTATTAATGTTTGGAGAAAAAAATTGTTCAAATAAAAGTTACTTCTAATATTATTATCTATAATTTTTGTTTCATGTAAAAGTTTCCTGAAATGGTCCGTATTCGAGAAATTTGACAAAATGTGCAAAATTCTGATTTTTATGAAAGTTTTTGAAATAAAAGTTGTTTGCGATATCGATCTCTATAATTTTTGTTTATACATGATTTTTCTAAAATGGACCGTAATGAAAAAATTGTAGGAAATTTTAATTTTTTAGTATTTTCGTTTTCCATGAATATCTATAGAAAAATGTTTCGAGGTAGATGTATGTGGACAATGTATATATTTAGTTTATCCTCTAAACATTTATAGAGATGCTGCAATAGGTTGTACAAAATAACCGGAAAAAACCTATAATAACTAGATAGGAAAGTCATGTGTTGGACACATCAGATTTTTTTGTACA